TGAATGCGAGTCTCTTGGATACAACACACATCGATGGCTAGGGTCTCGAGCTAAACGAGCTAAACCGGCCTGTTGTCCTATACGCATCAGAGTGCGCACATTAAATGGGCATCGAGGGTGAAGAAGGGCTTCAGCATTCGGTGAAACTTAAACGGCTGTCGAAGTAGGACACGAGAGAACAGCGGCACAGTTTTTATCTGGTGCCGGTGATCGCCCGCGACCGCTTATTCGGAGGGCCGAAGCTCACCGTATACATGGTGAGCCGTGAGTTGACGGCCTTTCCGCTATCCGGGACCTGGGGACGCGCTCGGTAGCATACAGCTCTGCTCTCCCGAGGGACGATATATACATAGATGTATGTATTCAGTTCAGTTCTTACAACCAATAACTATGCACTTTCGTGCGCAGTTTCTGGTTGCTGTGTTTTGATCACCTATTTGGATAAAACAGAAGACTGAAGATTGCGATGTTGACAGCAAATTCAAGCGGAAGATAGCGAATTTGTATAGAGTGATGTTACGAGAATAATGATTAGATGCACGAGCGCCACTGTTTGCGACACCCAACCATTTTACTCAGTGTATTTAACCGTCGGTGACCACCACCTCGAGGTGCCCAGCCAGGGAGCCTAAAGGGACCGATGTGAGCCACTCTCCTGGTCAGGGTTTTTATACCCTCCATGGCAGGTCCTCGTTTGACGGCCCTTGATCTTTCTCTAATCGCTACCTGCCTCGGCAAACATCGGTCTCCGGGGCAAGCTATCAGGTGACATGCGTAGCACATTTCCCAAGCCGCGTAATGTATGAAGGTCGAATACTTGCACCAGTGGACGAACGCGATTACCTAAAACTCTACACCTAACCTCAGCACTCCTCGTCCTGTTACCCCACCAGACTCTTGCAATGCGACGTAGAAAGCGGTGTTAGAACAAGGACAGTTTATTTTTATTATGTTCCCTTAATGGTCAAGGCTCTGCACCGTAAAGCAGCACTGGCCCAATTGTTGCGGCATATATTCGACCCTTCACAGACAGCCGGATGTCGCGACGGCGCCACAGACGTCCCAAGTTGTCAAATGCCAACCGAGCCTTTTGTATGCTCGCCGACACTTCATCTGTGATGCGTCCTCCAAGTGAGATATAGCACCCAGATAGGAAAATTAGTCTACTTCCCCCATTAGTTTCCCAGTCTCGGTGAGGTTGGGGGTTGAACCAACCCAATCTTGTAGGAACATTTTACACTTTGAAGGTGAAAAGCGCATACCGACATACAATTTATGATTCTAATCTTACCCATGTAGCAACATGCCGCTCATGAAGAGCAACAATCAACAACATACGATTGACAACAGACATTTACTATTAGGTGAAAAACCTGTGCAAACGTTCTTTTATTTATTCTATTTATTGAGATTGAAGTCTTCAATTTTACCAAAATTAAGAGACAGTAATCATTAACCTAGAATGATTTCCATCTCAAAGTGGGAACTGAAATTTTGTTTTGCAGCTGGTTTACGGGTTTTACCACACAACTTACTCCGCTTTACGAGTTGGTCACTTGTCACGAATCATAAGATGCTTCAACCGAAGAACTATTACACGACTGATTAGTTGAAATGCACATTTATTTCGACCGGTATTGTATTTATAATCATTAGCTTTTTATCACTGACCGTAGATACATAGATAATACATATTTATGCGTAAATTACGTAAAGTCAATCATGAAGTCTGGTGACCAAACAATAAGACAGATGCGATAAGGTGTATGTTAATGGAAAACCACAACTGCATGACAAATCGCCAGTGTAAAGTGGAGCTGTGACAGCAGACAGGTAAGTGTGTCACTTTCGTATATGATAATAATAGTTATTATTATTTACGGAGAACTTCGAAAAGACCCATTACTTCACCAATAACCAGTAAGAGACAAATCGCAATTCGGGTAGGCATCCAGGCCAAAACTATACACCCTCCTTACACTTCTAATATTGTTGCTTCGAAAAGTGTTTCATCATCTTCGTACAGCGAGATACAGTAAAGCGAACTTCACTGATCGCTGCCAAGCTCACAATGTACACAAATCAAGTGATAAAGCACACGATGGAGAGGGATTTGGACTAACTGGAGGGAGGCGAAAAGAAAGTGAACCCCTATGGTCAACACAGATTATATAATCCAAGCATACATACATGGACTTTCAAGTATTCTGACCTGATGAGAAGCGACAACAAGAACGTCACTGCTGTAGATTGGTCGCCATATCTTTCAGTGTCTCCAACCAGCCAATTGCAGAATCTTTCGGACCCCAACCTGGAATACGGAAAACACCGATTCTACCAAATCCATCTGTGCATTTCTTCATGCCTCGCTTCCACGTCATCTGTTGACCACCACGCGGTTTCTTCCAACCTGGAGCCGTAACCGCGAATAAGGCGCGGTGCGGCAGACGATGGCTTGGCATGCGCAATACGTGTCTAATCAAGCGGAGCCGACTAATCTGAACTCGATAGGACAACGAATTCTCCATCGAATCATTACCAAGTACGCGACGACTTATTTCAAAATTGCTCACAAGCTCGATCCATCCAACCCGCGCCAAACTACGTAAAAATCGGCAGTCGAAGACTTCTGGATGACGAATATCTTCCACACGCAAATTTAGGGTCTCGCAACCATAGAGCAGAACTGACGGCACCCGAGCACAGAATACACGACCTTTCAGTCCTGCGTAAGCTGCTGGAGCCTTGGAAATGTGGGCGGTTACTTCATTGATTATGCTACCGTCATTTGACACGCAGCTACCTAATTCGGTGAAACATTCCACAAAAGCTGGGGTAGACGACACCCAGTCTTGTAGCATCACTTTGCAATTTGAAGATGCACAGCGCATGCCGAAACGAGTTACAGAACTTGAACTTCTGTCAAGAGCGCTTTGTGCAACCTCCATAAATTCGAACAGGCATGCGATGTCATCAGCGTACTCTAAATCGCACAGCTTTTCTCCAGCTGCCCATTCAATACCTAAGTTTTGGAGACCACTAAGTGAGTTCTGCAGTACCAATTTGAACAAGAATGGTGAAATGGGGCATCCTTGACGAACACCGCTTCTGGAACATGGAGAAAAATATGAATACTTGATAGAAGATGAAAGGAAAACTTGAAAAGACGGCTGTATCGAGTGCAAGCGCAATACAAACATATAAATCAGTACTTCGTGGCGCAGTGGTCACCAGTGTGTTTTGTACTCTGTGATCCGGGGTTTCAAACCTGCCACAGCCGCCCAACTTTGGTGCTAAGTAGTCTGCTGTCACCCGGTTCAATACCATGCCTAGCCTAGCGGGACCTTACATGGTTCGCCACTACAAGTACCGGGGCTTAGATTGCTGGTTTCCGTCACGGATGTTATATTCTTGTTCTCTTGTTTATGCACCTTTCCAAATAAGGCTCCTTTTTTATTCTAGCTCATGTACCTTACTTATTAGTTTACAGTTAGTTTTACAGTTACGGCTCTGACCTACTAAATACGTACCTTGAACGCCTCTTTAAAACGAATTCAATCTGACGACAGACAACCCAGACCTACTCATTAACTTCTTGGCACCTGTGTATGAACACATCTTTGAGTGTAAGACATTTGACAAAGCAATCATTCGAATCTCTGTATGTTCACCCTCAAAAAACGTATTTGCACAGTACCTTCTTTCTACTTGTAAACAAGACGCTGGATAAAACATAGACCAGTTTGTTTAAAACATCAAAACGCTAGCTAAAAACTGTACTTTTCGGTCCGTCTCAGCCGAAGAATACTGTGACGATACTATGCATAATACATTCACAACTAGACTGCAGTCTCATGTCGTCTGTACGAGACTGCTGGAACAACTATCACTAACCTTACAAACTGCATACCAAATGGTAAGGTCTCTTGAAACCGACCAAAAGCAGTCGCGGTCATACTAAGCAGAAGGCGTTCCATGTGTTTCTACCAATCCACTTCCTTCCTTCATCTACCTGAACCCGTTTTATCACCGGCTTTCAACGAGGCATGCTATTCTTGCGGCCATTTAAAACATCTATTTACCAAGTGCTCGGAAAGGGAGACCGTCTGTCAAGCCCATGAAAAAACTGGAAACTTTAAACGTGTGTGCAAATCCCGTAGACACGGACCATGCTCTGTTACCAGCGATATTTTCCCTACGCCTAGTAAGCAACCGCAGAAAAGCCACCGAAAACGGATGCTCATAATAGTGTCAGCAATGGTTGCAAATCGGCCTTCGAAGCGGGCTATCCCATCACCCTCCAGCTCAACGACTCAGTGAAGACTGGATGGCAATCAAGAAAGTGATTCAGATTTCGATCAAAACCATGGCGGATTCTGGCGCATGATCAAAGCAAAAACGACGGATCTCCTCGGCCTCGTTGTCCCGCTGGACGCTCGCAAATATGTCTTCTTTTGCCAAATACGACAAAACTCACGGATCTCTTAAAGGCCAGCTCATTAAAAGTCTGAGGAATGATCACGAGAATTGGTGGGTAGGAAAGTGTAGAGAGATGGAGAACGCTGCGGCTTTCGGTAATAGTCGCGAACTTTTTCGCTTTATTAGGATTAAGGGTCCAAGGAAAGAGGGGTGAGGTAATTAAGGAGTCTGACATGATACATGCACAGAAACGTCTAGATCGATGGGAAGAACATTTTAAGGCATAGTTCAGTTGGCTCCCGTCGACAAAAGACCTCCCAATACTTGCTTGAACCGAGTAAATACTGCCAGTTTACATCAGTCCTCAACCTGGGAGGTTAAACGATAGTTAAATTACTTCAAAAGGTTCAAGGCTTCCGGCCCGGACGGGCGGTCTTCATCGGTCTCTCACATCAATTTATTCAACATACAAATTATCTGAAAATGGAACGTTGGTAAGTTTGTAAGAAATCTACGTAATCAAAAGCTATGGCAGGAGAGTCAGATCAGGTCAGGACGAAAACAGGCTTTCGCCTAACACGCGAATTGGATTAAGAATAGGTAAGAAATTGCGATTGAGGTTGCCACATTGCGTAGTGTAAATAAGAGGCTTAACAGCAGCAAGGAGACGATAATGAAATGTCAGGATTTTCGCTAAAAAGATTACTCAACTATGGACATACCTCCATCGTGGAATCAACAATACGTGTGCGAAACCTTGGATCATCCTCGTCTAGCATTGCCTTTCTCAACGTATAATCGATCCTTGCTGGGGGAGCTTTCCCTGTTTTGAATCTTGATGGGATATAAAACAGCTGTCGTCCAGTGCACCGAAACAACGACATCGTCCGAAAACTATCGAGCGGAACGTGTCCGTTATATGGTTCAGTTCAGTCAGTCAGTCAGTCAGTCAGTTTGCACAGGACAGGAGATGGCCACGG